GCGATTGTCCTGCAAGGAAACGACACGGCCGCTTTTACCCGGAGTTCGCGTAACCGAGCTCCCCGGCGGCTGCCCGCGGCGGCCGAGGAGCCCGAGGCGGGGGAACCGCGCCGCGCTACCTCGTTGTCCCAGGAGCCGGTGGCGAAGAGGTCGGGGGGCTGCAGCGCGGCGGCGGGCAGGGGCCGCCATCGGGCCTTGCTGATCTTTTGCGACACGAACCGCGCGCACACCTCCTCCATAGCGCCGCACGGCTCCCGCGCTGCCACGCGCCGCCTGATTGGCTGCGTGGCGACGGCGAGCGCCGAGGGACAGCGCTGGGCGCGGCGGCGAGAGCGGCCGGGCGCGATGGGAGGCGCGGCGAGGCGGGCCTTCCCGCCCGCAGGCACAACGGTTTTTTTTTGTTTTTTTTTTTTCTCCAAGTACTGCGCGGCCGCGCGTTTGTGTGTCACGAGCGGGCTCCCCAGGGCGGCAGTAGCAGCCCCAAGGCAGCGGGAGTTCAAGGAGCGTTTGCACGACGCGCTCAGACACAGATAGAGCGCGAATCCGGGTGGTGCTGGGCTCTGTGATCCCTTTGGGCCCCTTCCAGTGACTCTGTGATCGCCACAGCCCTCAACGACTGCCGCACGCAAAGTTCAGGGGTCAGCTGTAAAGCGAGATCCGGGCTGACGGGGCCGGGCTGTGGCGCCGGGATGGGACGGCACCGCAGCGCAGTGAGGCCGTGCCCACAGCCACCCTCCTACTCCGTCCTGCCTGGTTTTTGCTGCGTTTTGTCACAGCTAGCGCTGCCGGCTGCCTGGGATTCTGCCAGCTGCGCTTACCGGCAGCAGCGGCAATGTTTTGGTCACACTTCCAACTCTGCTCCTGCAGTTCTCACATGTTCTTGGTCTACTCTGCAGCATCACAGTTCTTCGGATGTGATACAAGATCAGGGACGTTAGGCTGTGTGCTTTGTGCATCGCTTCAGCTTCCTTCGTGGCAACGTTTTTTTCATAATTACAGCAGCACAAACACGGAATGTATTTGAAAAGCAGCTGCCACGGTAGTCTCCATACTATGAACCCTAAGACAGCTCTCCCACTCTCTGCAGTGACATTATCACTTTCCAGCAGCACCCTGTACTGAGCTGCTAGCACTGACCTTGCAAGTCACAGCCAGCTCCTCCAGTATGCCCTGCGCATTGTCCTAACACTTGTGAGAAGGGTCACTGGGGAGAGCATGGAGACAGACTGGAGAACTCAACGTGGAAGAGATCATATTTCAACACTATTGAAATGTTTTATTAGACAAATATCTTTGATGGTTACTTCATAATATTTGTGTGGGTTTTTTTTATTTATTATTATTTCTTCTGTGCTCTTGGATGGTTTCTCTCTTTGCTCAGGAGTGCTTGGTTGGAAGCATTTGGGAAGTATTAAAGTGAGTAGGTGGGACGCAGACTGTTTTCATTGGGAAGGAAAAAAGAATCCATTTTTCTTCCCTGTGTTGCTTTTTTTTTTTAGATTCTTTTGGCAGCATGCTCTGTGTTGGATTTAGGGCTGCTGTAGGCCTTTAAATATAATCTCCGCGTTTGATCATTAAGAAAGATGGGTATTGTTTCAGGATAATATCAAATTTAATTAAACAATTAAAAGAAGGAAACAAAGACCACAAGACAAAATGCCTCATCAAGTATTCCTGAGGTTGTCAATAAGAACTTTAGGACTAGACAAAGCTGGCTCTGGGCACTGGGCCCAAACATATAGCAGAAGCAGAAATGAATTTGTATGGGTTGTTCTCATTGTGACTAAAGTTAGGAGTGTGAGCAAGAGGGATGAGAAGCCAAAGCATGTCTTTCCCTGTCAGAGGCTACAGAGCCTGGGGAGGCAGGCACCTGCCAGTCAGTGGGTGTGCAAAGGCAGGATGAAGCCAATTCTGAATTCTATTTGCCAGTAACCTGCTTTCCTTTAATTATTGCACAGCAATATTTTAAGAAAGTTATTTGAAGACTCTGTATTTACTGCTGGTCATAGCTCCTGGAGCTATGCCCAGTTCAATCTCCTGAACAAGCACAGTTGCCAGTGCAGGGCACTGCAGAGCAGATGTAAGAACAGAGAGCTGGGGCCACAAGCACCCTCATAGCCCTTGTTTGCCCTGACCTATGGAGACAGAGTTCAAAATAACCTTAGATGCAAAATTCTGAAATGGAAACATAAAATTAAAGCTGGGTTGGAACAACAGGAAGAGAGAAATGATGAAGGAGAATGATTAAGTTAAAAAGAGAACAGAGGCAGGGAGGGGAGTGAGTGTAGGTGTAGAAGCCAATTAGTGTATGGTTTGGGACATAGCTGCGGAAATGCTCAGCAGGAACATTTCATAAAGAAATTCCTGCTTGCCGTATGTATATGCAGAAGCAGATGGGACCAGACAGTGATGAACAGTTTTTCATATGCTTTTGAAATTCAAAGGCTTTCAAAATTCTAATGGGTGCATGAGGTGGGAGGAAAAGGATAAAACAGAAATAGTAGCATGGAGGGGTTTATATATAAATGTGTAAGAGACTGAGATGTGGGTGAATGTGCAGAAAAGGAGAGAGAACCAATGGGCAGCATGCTTAAAACTACTGGGATCTCCATGTCAGAGCAATCACATGATGACCCACTACTGACATTCCCCTGTCCCTTCCTTGGCAGGGCCTGGAGGGACTGGGGAGTTGGAAGGTGGAGGGGTCTGCAACTGACCGTGGACATCTGGGGACTGAGGTGCTCATGCTAGATCAGACAAGTGAGGAGGAAGATGAAGGAACTTTGAGTGTAAGAGCAGATGAAAATGTGCTGACAGACAGAAAACACTTTAAAAATTATATATGTATTTTTAAAATTATTTTTCTGGCATAGAACACAGACATTCTTTCATGGGCTTTTACTGACAAGCATGCTCTTAATAGGTTTTAATAACAAACTCATGGCTAGGGGCTGTAGAGCGAAAAATGCAAGTGACCCTCATGGCTGTTTGTTGCATAAAACGGTGCATCCTATTGCCATTGATGTAGTTTCTCAGTGTCATTTGAGCCCAATTGGCTCATCTTAAAGTTCCTGGAAATCTGCACAGCCAAACCATTTCCTTCACACATGCCTGTTACCACCCCAGATATCACTTACATTCTTGTCACTATCTGAGAAACCATGCCAAGCATGGTACCAATAAACAGCCTCAAAGCTGCAGGGTAGGTTTGTGTGTTCCTCTGAGATTATGTTAGGCTCTTTCTCTATTCTCTGACAAGCATAAGCCTAATTCAAGCCTGGTGCTGGCAGGAACAGTCAGGCTGTATGAAAATGGCTTCTCTGGTATTTCTGGTCTCCCAAGGGGGTAAGTATCCCTGGAATGCTTTTAAGCATGGGTCAGCTAGTTTGTTGCTAACAGCCTCTGTATGTAAAAGCAATGCAGTTTGCTTGCATCTGACAACAGAAAATGCCTTTTGCATTTAAAACAATGAAGTATTTTTGTTTGCGTGTTTTTACAATGTCTGTTTGTTCTTTGTACTTGCTGCCCTTTGGGAATTCTTGTAACTCCAGGGCTCTTTTCCTTCCTTCCTGACCCACTGGACACAACAAGGAGACCCTGCATGCTGTGGGAGGGGCTGCAGAGCAGTTTCCAGATCATGCCTGAGAGAAGATGGATGCAGAATACAAAATGAAGCAGCAGATCCATCTCCAATATTACAAGAACCAGATAGGAAAGGTCTGGGGATTCAATGGACACAACCCGACCCTGGTGTGAACACTGGGCAACTGCCAGCTTTGCCCTTTAGGGAATGCTAGCCAGAAAAGCAAATTTCTGCACTCACTTCACTTCCCTTACCTGAATTAATGATTGTGGGATGGAGAGCAGTGTGATGTGGAGATGGTGCTGCCTCATCACTCCCAAGATGGATTTTTACACAAAAGGATGTTATCTGCATCTCTCGTGGTGGCATAACAGGAGTGTGTGTCCTCGTGCCTGGAGCGCTTTCAGAGAACAATATGGTATTTCAATTTATGACTGACACCTTATGTTCTCCAACGTTCGTACTACACATTGCCGACAGGACCTGGTAGTTCGTGGTCTCACGTTTCCAAAGCAAGAACTGCTGCCTCACTCTGCACGCGCAGGGGCAGAGCAAAGCTGTATCGAAGCCTTGTGGTATTTATTACACTTCAAGCTAGCGATTTTGTAAGCCGGACGCCTTCTAAAAGGAATTTTAAGCGTGCAGCCTTGCCCTGTAACAACACGGCGCGGCGGCAGACATGTGGCAACGCTCAGCCGCCAGCGCAGCACTCGCCCCCGTCAGCCTGCAGCCGCAATGCCGCGGCCGCCTGACGATGGCTCAGCGGATCTTCCCGCCCGGCCGCCGAGGCTCGCGCCAGCTGACCAATAGCAACTTTCGACACGTAGGCTCGGCCCTCACGGGCTGGCTGCGGCCAATAAGCGCACCTCATGCAAAACGCCGCGCAGCGAGGCGGCAGTAATTGGCTGACTCGTGAGGGCGGCGAGGAGCGCGGGCCAATAACGGCCGATACTGCCGGGCCGGGAGGTGTGAGGCGGGGGGCGCTTCACGAGAGCGGCCACAAAGGGTGAGGGGAAGTGAGGGGAGTTCAGGGGAGCGGATCCGCGCAGTTGCGGTACCTCTCTCGTTAACCCACCTCGTAGCGAGCGCTTGCCGCCTCCCCCGTCGGACATGTTCGTAATCAACCCCCGTTAACCGGGGAGGGCCGCAGCGTTCGTGTCAGGGCGCACGAGGCCGTTCCCCACGCCGCAGCCGCGTCCGCCCGCGCGCGCCGTGGCGCCGGGCACGTCCCGCGACCTCCCCCTCCCCCCCGCGCACGGCGCGCAGCGCCCCACCCAGGCCGGGGGAGCTCCCCCTCCTCGAAGCCCCCGCGCGCCCCGGCGGCGGGCGCGCATGCGCGACCCGCGGCGGCGGAACGGCGGCACCGTCCGGAGCATGTCGGGCGCGCGGGGCGGTGGGCGCGTGGCCCCTCCCCCCGGCGGTCGCGCGGCAGCCGCAGCGGCGGCGGCGGCGGCGGGGGGAGGAGGAGGAGGCGGCGAGGAGGCGGCGCCTGTGTCGGCGCTGGAGGTTGTGTCCTTCCTGGGGAAGCTGCTGTGCGCAGTCGCGGCGCTGAAGGCGGCTCTCTACCTGCTCCGCAGAGCGTGCCTCGCCATGGCCTGGAAGTCGGGCGGCGCCAGCCACTCCGAGCTCATCCACAACCTCCGCAGTGAGTCTGCGGGGCGGGCGGGGGCGCCTCGGCGGCGGGGCGGCCGGGAACGGCTGGGAACGGCTCCGCTCGGCCGCACGCGCACGGAGTTCCCGCGGCGCGCGCCCGGCTGCCAACTGTCAAGGAGCGGCGGCGGGGGGAGGAGGCGAGGGCGGCGCCCGGCCGGGGGGTGTGCGGCGCCGCGGCCCCGCGCTTCCCGCCCGCCGTGCCGGCCCGAGGGCGGCGGCCGCTGTCGCGGGGCGGGACCGGGCCGTCGGTGCGGGAGGAGATGCGGCGGCGGCGGTCCCGGGGGGAGCGCCTCGGGGCTGCGGCTGTCGTCGGCCTCCCCTCGGGTCCCCTCTCCCGCGCTCTCGTGCGGGGCCGGGCGGCGTCCCGGGGCGGCGTCTCGCAGGACGCGGCGACCGCCCTTCCAGGGCCTCGGGGCGGTTTCGAGGGGGAGCGGGCGCGTCCGTTGGGCGAAAGGTGCGTAACGGCACGGCGGCCCGCTGGGGGGGTCCGGAGAGCCGGCGTGGCCCCGACGCCGGGGCGGCTCTTCCCGAGGGTCAGCTGGGGCCGCGGGGGGGGGCAGAGCCGCTGCCTCGCCGTCCTGTTGCCGCCCCGCGCCTTTGCGGATCGTGCTGTCCCCGTGCTGAAGGCGGGCGGCGCTGTCAGGATGCTCCGCGCCGCCGGGCTCCCGTGAGCCGGGCGCCGCGGGGTCACGCAGGGAGATAACCGCGTCGTGTTGTCCTGCGCTTCGTCTTTGTTAGATAGATGCTCCTGTAGCGTCCCTCTTCTTTACCCTCGCACGTTGCCTTAAATGCACAAATTCCAGTCGTGAAAGGATGTATCCAGACTTGGAAGCTGTGCTGTGGCAGCCGCCTCGTGTTTCAGTACCGCCTTTATCTACCTAGCCTCCTTGTTTGGAGACAAGGGAGAACTATCCTTGCTGTCTTCTCTAGCCTGCTTGTGATGGATGCTCTGATCCCGAGAGCTTTTCCAGCATTTTCTTTTGCCGCTATTGAGAACTCTTCCACTCAGCGGAGCAGTGCTTTGCTGAAGTAATTTTTCAATTTGACATTAAAATTGCCACTTGAACAAATAGATACCAAATCCTCTAGCTGTGAGTTGCAACGTTCTGCCCCTTGTCTCTGAGGGACAGAAATACTGCCTTAATGAAATTCTGGCATGGAGTCCCTTACACAGCATGTAGAATGGATGTCAGACTTCCAAATTATATCCAAAAAGTCATTGTTGCTGGAATTGTTTACAGCTCTGAGAACCTGAAGGCAAAACTGATTTTGTTCCTGACAATAACAATGACAGTGTTTCAACACATGGAAACTGTTCAGGGCTTTGCAAATATTGTATTTTTTTTTCTTAAATTAAAAGCCACTATGAGAATACGACAGCAGCTTGTAAAGGAAGAAGAAAGTAAGCTGGAAGTTTAACGCTGCAATCTCAAAATTTTAAGTGACAGTAATTACTTGAAAAGTTGCATTCTGTAATTTTCCTCTCTGTTTTGCCTATGTATCTCAAAATATTTTGAGTGATGTTAACATGGAGTGGAAATAAATCACTGCCGAAGCACAGATGCTTTTGATCTTGCAGCAGGGTTGTGCTGCTGGCAGGTGCTTTGTTGATTTCCATGGGACTGCAGTGATGATGTAGATTCCAGGTGGCCAAGAAAGCCAATGGCATCCTGGCTTGTATCAGGAATGATGTAGTGAGCAGGACTAGGGAAGTCATCCTGCCCCTCTACTTGGCACTGGTGAGGCCTCACCTTGACTACCATGTTCAGTTTGGGGTACAGAAAGGACGTGGAGGTGCTGGAGCAGGTCCAAAGAAGGGCAACAAGCCTTGTGAAGGTCTTGGAGAATATGCCCTACCAGGAGAGACTGAAGAAACTGGGGCTGTTTAGTCTGGGGAAGAGGAGGCTGAGAGGGAGACCTTACTGCTCTCTTCTAATATCTGAAAGGTGCTTACAGCAAGAGAGGGGTTGGTCTCTTCTCACTGCTGACAGGATGAGGGGAAATGGCCTCAACTTGCACCCAGGTAAGTTTAGGTTGGATATCAGGAAAAGTTTCTTTACAGAAAGGGTTGTTAAACACTGGAATAGACTCCCCAGGGAGGTGGTTGAGTCACCATCCCTGGATGTGTTTAAAAACCATTTGGATGTGGTGCTCCAGGTAAGGTGATAACTTGTTGCTGGAAGTTGGGGAAAAGTTTAGAAGAAAATACCTTTTTATGTGGTATGCACTGCAGTTAGGCATGTTATAAACAAGCTTAAAAATCACTGGTTACTGAAAGAGTGAAATGGTCTAGAAAATTCTATTTGAATAGTAGATCCCTTGGCGTATTTAACTATTTGTTCTAAAAACAGCGGAGCAATGTAGCATTTCTATGTAGAAATAAGAGAATACAAATCAGATGGTTAGCTTGATGTTCTTTGAGTGTGTGGGGTATGTGTGTGTAAGTTAGTAACTGTGTAATTTGCATACATTAAGTAACTCCAGTTGTAGTGACACAGGATGTGTTCTGCAGAAAAGGCTGACTGAGTTGTTTTGCTCCTGTCCTTACTCCACTGGTTGTCTCTTCCCTGTGCCTACAGAGCCACGTGTGGGGGAAGATAGGTAGTAAGACTGGATCTTTCTTACCCTTTTGTAAGGGTGAGCGTTTGTGATGTTCTCTTCTGTGAGGCAAAAAAAAAAACAACAAAAAACCAACAAAAAACCCACAACCAAAAACGTTTTAAACTCCTCAGTGTCTGTAAGCTGCTGTACTGCTATGTTTAGAGAAGTAGTAAACTTCGCTGTGGGTGTGAGTGGGCTGGGGAGAGTGGGAACTACTTGTTTTACTTCTGTATAAAAGCATCAATGGAAAACTCCCGTGAGCTATATATTCTTGTGCTTTAAACCAGCTGTAAGGACTATTCTTTCTTGTAAGTTGTTAGTGACGGTTACTTCTATTTTGTGGCAAAAAAAAAAAAAAAAAGGTCTAATTTAATGAAGATGTACTAATATATGCTTATTCCAGTGTTGCCTCAACTATGGAATTAGGTTGTTCTATAGAGGTAAGAAGAATTATGTTAGAGCATTGCTAAGTGTTTGGACTCGATGATCTTTAAGGTCTTTTCCCACCTGAGCAGTGCTAAGCTTGTGGTATTTGCATGCAGATTTAGGCATCTTCACAAGCCTTATCTTTGTTTTCGTGTCTTAGAAGGACCAAACTAATGAAGAAGGCCCTGGAACTTGGAGTATTTTTTAGTGCATAGTTAGAGACAAGTGACTGAAGAATATTCCGTAGCTTTTTGTTCTTTTAGCTGCTCATTGCATATTCTTGCTCTGTTAATTTGAGGCATTGGGGATGTACAATTTGTGCAATACACAAAATAAACTTGCTTAAAATGCACTCTCCTATCCAACAAGCCCTTGAATTCATCTCCTTGTTCCATCAAGGTGTTCAGCTACTTTGTTTTCAAGTGCTTTTTTTCCTGAATGTTTTGATTCTTCAAGCATTAGAGTTGTTTGGAAAAGTACTGTTATTTAAATCCAGCTGAGAAGAAGCAAAGAAATAATTGAGTACGTATCTGCAAACTTTACCTCTAGAAATATTTAAGCAAAGCGTAGGCAGCGCTTCTGGGAAGTTATCTAAAGGTAGATTAGTAGAGAGTTGTAGATCATATTAAAGGTAGAAATAGTTGGCCATGTTTAAGTGCACAGCTATGACCAAAGTTCCTTTTTGTTGTGAAGCTAGCGTATATGGATGCTGAAAATTAAGAAAAGACTCAGTAATGGATGGATGGCTGATTTACTATTATATTATTTGGTTGAGAATCCTTGGATAAATTTCTTCTCTCTCCCCCCAACACCTCTTTTATCTTCAGATAGCCACTGTTGTCTCGCCTCACTGTTGTGTCATTTTGATCCCCCTTTGTTTTTCATACATGGTCTCCTGCCAAGTCCTGTTACTTTATGCACCAACATCTTAGAAATCAGCTTTTCTTTTCCACCTGCAGAACTCAAAGTTTGGTTCCTGTCCAACTCACAATCCGTGAAGTTAATTAGGTTTCCTTATCACACCTTTATTTCTCTCCTCCAGACAATACGGAGTGCTGCCATATGACAGTCTTTCTTTGCTTGCTCTTCTGGTTGTGTTGTGCCAGTGGTGTTATAACCAGATATATGTATTTTTGAATCCACGTTTTTGGGTTTAAATATGAAGATGAATTAACTTGAACGTGATTAAGAGCTGCATAATGTTGTTAATCGTATCTGTGCTTGTTTCCTGCTACATTCAGTTCCCTCCATCATCCAACAGATCTGTAGACTTGTTTCAGAAAAGTTAGAAGCTGTAATTTATGAGATATTGTGGATTCCACAGAATTTGATAGCTTGTTTCAGGGAAGTGCCAGGAACGTGACAGCATTGCGTATGGCCTTGCTAAGCCTAAGCTTGGTTCAGTGAGAACTGAGCATGGTTGTTCCTCAAGTTTGGGTTCTGTGGTTTTATCTGTTTGTTTGTTTATTTTCCTGCTGTGTCATTTCCCTTGGTTCATCCAAATCCTTTCCACAACTGGCTAATTTTGTGCACGGAAGACTAATGTAACTGGGATGAGCATGGATCAGGGAAATAACAAAATAAATTGAAAATAAACCAGTAAACACACCCCAAATTTAATGCCCACGACCTACAAACAATTATGCTGCCTATTGTTTGTATTCAGCAGTTTTCCCTTCAGCACGTGCACTGTGCTGAGGTTTGAGTGACTAAGCATTGTTGATCATGGCAAGAAGATGGAATACCTAGAAGTCAGTTTTTTTTTTTTTAATGTATGTTTCTCTCTGCTTATTTATATCAGAACACTTCAGAATCAGTCATTTTAATTTAAAAATGCTTAGTACTTCTGCTTGGTTGAAGGTGTGTTTTGGCTCTTGTTGAGTTTAACGGCATAATACAACTTTTGTGATGGTCTGGAACTGCCTAATAATCTGTGGCAGAATGGGAATAATTTCTGTAAATCTA